TAATTGCAACTTGTAAATTTAATTAATAGATTGGAAATTGTTACATTTGAAGGAATTTAATTATTTCTGTTGGTTAAATAAAATTATTGTTAGCTCTATGAATCATGTTGATTTAAATAATTATATATTTTATTTCAATTATTATTATTGACCCTTAGTGAGTATCAAAGTCGACCTCTCGTCTCTACCTCTTTGAGATTAGGCTTGATACTTACTGGATACACGTTGTTTACGTACTCATGCTACACTTGCTGCACTTTTTGTGCAGGACCTGAGACAGGTGCTATCGTTGGACCTATCGGCGCGCACATGCGTTATCCAGAGGTTTAGTGGTGAGCTGCTTTCCGAGTCGTTCTGCTACAACTAGTGCCTCTTCTAGGAATTTTATCTTGTCTATTTCCTTTCAGATAGTATTTATAATTTTGTATAATCTACTAGATGCTCATACACTTGTGACACCAGATCTTGGCACACACACTATTAGAATGTTTGGATTTAAATCATGTTCTTGGTTATTTTAATTTACTAAATCTTTCCATATTGTGTAAATTCTTGCAAGTAAGAAGAGTTTAATTACTCGGTTAATTTTAAAAGAATTGAATATGGGTTTAATTTACTAGTTGGCTTGTCTAGCTGTAGTGTTGGGCGCCATCACGACCTTTAGGTAAAATTGGGTCGTAACAGACAGTCTATTGTACATAAATTGTATAGTAGTAGTCTATTTAGTATATTTTTGTATAGTGATAGTCTATTTTGTATATATTTTGTACAGTAACAATCTATTTAGTATATTGTTTGTATAATGACATTCTATTTTTATATATATTTTGTATAGTGACAGTCTATTGTATATAAATTGTATAGTGATAATCTATTTTGTATAATTTTTGTATAGTGACAGTCTATTTTGTATATATTTCAACTTTATGCATAGTTATCTGAGAAAGAACCATCATGAAACTTCATGTTATTTCCCGTGACTTCAAACTCCCAACTCAAAACCCAGCAACTCCATTGAAACACAACACTAAAAGCTTCTTACTTTCCCATTTCTTCATGTTATTTATCAATGCACCGTTAATTTGCTAAAAGACAAAAAAAAAAAAAAAAAAAAAAAAANAATCCACTTACTCTTTCAAAAAAAAAAAAAAAAAAAAAAAAAAAAAAAAGATGATGATGTGTTTCTATTTTCTTTTTGGAAAAACCTCTTTAAATTTCAGTTCCCTTTTTTCCTAGTATTTCGAAATTTTTATTTATTCAGAATTATGTTTGTATATAAAACAATTAGTAGCTTTTAATCATCGAGGTAAAATTCAAAATAGAACTAGAAATAAAAATGCACAAGTACAGGAATAAGTTGGTTACCTTTCCACTCGAAGCATCACAACGTACGGTAAACCTGGAGCTTTTGGACAGCTTCTCAGTTTTTCTAGTGAAGAACACATCTTTTTTCTTCAATTTCAACGAATTAAACTGCTTGGGAACTCGAGATTTGCCGGAGAAGTTCACCGACTGAGAAGAAAATAGAGTTATTCGGCTTGAAGAATCCGATTTTCCTCAGAGGCACCACTTTCAGGTTTTTCAGTTGCTAGCCATTGTTTTTGTTTTAAGGTTATGACTTGTACGGGTCAATTTGTGGCTACCGATTGATATATATTTGGCCCGATGGGCTATAAATGAATTTTGCTCAATATTATACATACTAAAAAAATTGTGACGCCTATAAATAATGCAAGACAACAATTCATACTCATTCATTAACTGTCACATCCATTCAAGTTAAATATGACTTTTGGTTGTTTACTTATAGAATGAAGATTCATCTATTCCAATGGGAACCGGCGAGATTGTGCGAAAATGCTACAAGCAGAGAGATGCAGTCCAAAGTCGAGCGAAAAGAGATTAGCGCCAATTGTCTTAGAAATTGTCAAAAGACAAATTAGAGAGTGAAAGAAAACCTTTCATGTACTGCAACGGTATTTTTAAAATAAAAGTTCCTCATCATTAAAATGTTTTATTGTGGTTAACATTTTTTTTTGTCTTTCACGAATAAGAAAAATAATTATTTCTTCAGGAGAAACTTGTTAGGAACCAAAAAAAAAAAAAGCTTTTGGCATTAGTTAGATAATCGCCTTATACTTGAATTGAAAGGCGAGAGTGTTGGGAAATTGTTCTTTGAAGGATATGATCTCACACAATGCTTAGTCACCGACCAAACATCGCCTTATATTTGGAAAGATTGAAATGGTTAATCCCGATAAAACGGGTTATATATATCTCACTTTGACTTACAGTTTATTTGTTATTTTCTACCCTTTCGTTTATGAAATACATTTTCTTATAAATATTAGGGTAGATGATCATGGTCCCATAACATATATCGTGTCTGATCATTCATATGTTATGATCAGGAATAAGTAAGATAATATAATTAACTATTCCTTTTGAATGAAATTGGTTTTTGGTATGCAACTTATCAACATGCATGAAATTATGTGAAAGATTATATTTTTTAAGCTTACATTAATATTTGAAAATACTCGTGAAATAAATAAAGATTATATTTAAATATAACATAAAGGTTGGTACCCTTTTATCATGAATTTTGATGTCTCATTAGAGAAGCATAATGTATTAACGTTTTATGCATTATGTTCGACAACAAGAAATGTGAATAATCTAAATTTTGGTGATTTCTCTAGACTTGTAATTGTATATTTATATTCAAGTAAGAGTATTTATATTATCATCTAAGATCCATTTTTTCTCCTACATTGGTGTGTTTTAGCAAAAAAAAATATATAAAGTATAACTTTCACATCCAAAGAGGTTGGAAAGATTAAAGGGTTAACTTTAATAAATAGGAAGAAATCAATTTTACCTTTTGAGTTTATGAGTTCTGGATTCTACAAAAGGCAACTTATTGAGTTCTGAATAAATTATTTATGCATATTAAGTAGATTTTTAAACACAAATATATAATTTAGGATAAAGCTACTGAGTTCTGCCGAACTTGTAAGCAGAACTGTAGCTCCGCCCCTAGAAGGATGAAAATAACATATACACACCAGGAATATCATTTATAAATTTTAGGTAAAATTTGTTTCAATATATGTTTGTACCTAATAAATTAAAACAAGTAAATAAAATCACATGTATCTAACTAAATCTTGATTGTTCATCTTTGTAGGCTCAAATGAAGTCCAATCATCTTGACCTCGATAAATAAGTTACTATACGACGATCCATATTGTTCATTCACAAAAATTTATACTTTATTCTCTTACGTACAATCAAGCTTCTCTAGAACAACCATCCTCGATAACAACACGTCGCTATAACGGCTTTCCTTTGGAACTAAATTTTCATGTTATGCTCTAACATATGTTTTTTATATTAGCAACTTTATTATAACGGCTAGATAATATTTAGAAAACTATTTTAATAATATTAATATTATTTTACAAAAACTTTTGCCACATAACTCAATAGGAACTAGTTATAATAAAAAGAATCCGTAGATCATGAAATTTCTTGGAAAAAGGGAAAAAAAGGATAAAAGTAGATTGTACAGAAAGTAAGATATAATTACGATATAACTCTTGGTTATTGTCTTATTGAGAATAAATGCTAATTGTGGAAAGAAAAGAAGTAATGGTATATTTCTTGGGACGCGAAGTTCAATTAACTTATAGGCTAAGATAAGGGTGGCAAGTGAATCGGTCCAGGTTCCGGACCGGCCCGGGACCTCGGGCCTAACGGGCTAACGGGTTAGGACCGTTTGGACCGTTTTTAGCGGGCCTGGTTCGGTCCCGTGGGCCGGTCCTATGAATTGGGCCCGTTAGGCCCGGGACCGTTAGCCCGCCAGGGACCGGCCCGTCCCTTAGCGGGCCAAACGGTCCCA